AGGCTGTGTCTGCACATGCATCCTCCCTATCTGTGCTTGTGTGCATTCAAAAACCCTACAAATCATTCCAAAAAAGCCACCCAGCTCTTAGCTGCAACACACTCTGCCTGTGCAAAGGGAAATGCCAACAATTCAGCCTAAATAGTTTTCAAGGCTGCTGTGGAAAACTGGTCACTGGCTAAAAATACACAAAACAAATGTAAATTCCACTCCGATGACGAACATCAGTGGAAAGATTAACTTAAAGAATTGTGTCAAAAATGAGAAGTATTTTAATTGACAGGACAGAGCACGGCTGCGGGTCAGTGCTGGGCAGGCAGGGCTTCAGCAGCAGCACTGCGCGGGACAGAAGGTGATGTAGGAGCTCTCGGCCCTGCAGACGATGCTAAACCAATAACTTTATATTTTCCTGCCCTTATCATTTTCATTGCGAGTGCACAGGGAGTCCGCATCAGACTGTCACACACATTTTTAAGTTGTTTTGAGTACAAAATGTAGGGAGATTGAAATAGAAAATGAAACGGTGTTTGTCTTGCCTTGCCACGGAAAATAGTTACTGGTGTATCAGTTAGAGGGGAATTTTAATGTGACAAAGGACAAGGGTACAAAGTTAGTATGGGAAACTGGAAAACAGAGTTTCTGGAGCAGCACTGGAGTGAGCTGGTTTAGTAAGCAAAAGCCTCTCTGCGTCTCAGGATCGTGACTAATTTCCTGTGAAAGAAACAGCTCAGCTTACATGAGATGAGGCATATTTAAGAGCCTAATAAATGTAATTTTTATCAGTATTATTGAAAAAAAACCCAAACAAACCACAACCCAACAAAATGTAAATCAAACAGGTATCCCTACCAGAATCCTCAAATTAGATGGACAACCCCAAATTTAGGGCCCCCATGGGGATGCCATGTCCTACCACCGCCACACAAGCACTCTCTTTGCCTGGAAAATGTACATTTTCTGGAAAAAAAAAAATGGCTGCTTAAAAATAGACCACGTGGGTAATGTCAACCTCCATCTTCATGAGCATCAGTGTGGATGGCACCACAAGGCTGTGACAAACCACCCGCAGGACCCTCCTCGGGCTGCGCCGGGCAAGCCCCAAACGGCTTCTCGACCCCTTGCGAAACATTTCCAAACT